TAGTTGCCTCCACTTGGACGTAACTTTTTAATTTGCTTCCAGATGTTTCTGTATAGAAGCAGCTTGTGACCATGAAATATGCACGGGGCGAGCCAGCACTTTCGCAACAGCAGAGGCCTTTTGAGATGTGTTGTTTTCTGTATAAAAAGCAAAGCCCTCTGTCCTACAGGGAGAATTGTTTCATCTTAATCCCCAAACAAGCAAAACAACATCAAACCCGATGCGGTCAGAATGGTTTCTACTGATGGCAACCCCATTATGTTACGACCAGAACCGCTCCATAGGGTTTTCTTAATGGCTGTCTTCATGGAAGTGGATTGTCAAGCATTTCTTCCGTGGAACCCACTGGGTGCATTCAAACGGTCATCTTCTAGGTTAGTCGCTGATCATAAACCACTTCCGCCACCCAAGTACCTTGATTTACTATCAATCTACAACCATGGTGCTCTTGGTAAGTGCCATAGAGTCGGTTCAGACTCATAGCAACCCTGTATAGAGTTTCAAAGGACTGGCTGGTGGGTTTGAACAGCCGGCTTTGCATTTAGCAGTCCAGCGCTTATCCTACAGCACCACACCAGGACTCCACCATGCTAATGGAATATTAAAGATTATCTTATTATTTCTGTAAGGAGTCCAATGCTTTATTTCATCCACTTCTAGTTGAAATCTCTGCAGACAGTGTCCAGCATTTCCTGCATTATTAAACAGAAAGGGATAAATGTGGCTTTGTCTTGGCTTCTCGGAGGCATCCTATAGACATCATGGGTTGCACTGGTGACAGTCTAGGCCTGGTGCTTTTGTCTTTTGCTGGATTCTCCAGGCTCTTGTTTTTAAAATTCATAACCAGTTTTGCAGAAGTGGCTGTCATTTCTCAACAAGTCCACTTCGGAAGCACTGTCATTTTCCCTGACACCCCACCACGTTTAATTGATGGGTTGGCGTGGTCAGGAAGAACTAGAGACTGTCAGCAGAAGCAAATACGCAGGCTGACAAAACCAAGAGCCTTAAAATCAAATCCAAATTCCAGGCAGTGGACTCGGGTTGAGTAGCAAGAGAACAGCTTCTTCACGCCTCCAGGATCTTGGATGATGTGGCAGCCAGGTCCTTGTCCTCTGAGTTTTCAATGAGGGCTTCTCAGTCTAAATCCTGTTGACATATGGGTGTGCCATTCTTGGCAGAGGCTGCCAAGATTGTAAGTGCATTGTAAGATGTTTAGCAGCATCCCTGCCATCTACCTGTTAGTCCCCAATATATCACCTCCCCCTTTCTCATTGGGACAGCCCAAGTAACTCCCAACTTCACGAGAAATGATCACATTCCCTGGGGGGGTGCTACACTGACCAGGCTGAGATCACTAGATGCTGAGTCTTTCTGTCTTTTGGTTTTGTAACTCTGTTCTGACTCTTTGAAGCTGTAGAACTTGTGAGAACATTGGACTGGAATACTATTTGTAATACTCCGTTGTTGGAAGCCGTAGTGAGCCCACAAGACACAATAGAATGGTACCCTACGGTCTTAACAGAAGTGGATTGCTAGATTTTTCTCCTGTGGTGCTGGTGGGTGGATTCGAACCACCGACCTTTCAGTTTGCAGCCGAGAGCTCTTTGCAATACCCTAGAATTATGTAAAATGAAATAACTTATAAAACACCCAGATTTCTACAATTTGCCAGTGCTAAGGAAATATTTGTTTAAAGTAGCGACAACTAATATTTATTGAATGTTCATTTTGTAAACCTCATTTTGTGTGCCAGGCCCTGTTGTAAGCATAATCAACACGCTGAGGGAGAAATGATCATTGCTTCACTGAGTGCAAGGGGAAAACGAGGCCCAGAGCGTGGGGGTGAATTGCCTGTGTTTACGCAGCACGTGATGGTAGAGCAGGGTTCGCTTCCACGCAGGGTGACGTCAGCGTCCACTTTCTTCACCAGTACACTGGGAGAGCTTCATCATGAAATGTCACGACACGGTCCGACAGTGTGGGGACCATCACAGAACTGGTGTAAAGGACAGAATCTGCATTTAAAGTCTCTGGAATGCTCCTAAGGGCATGGGGCAAATGCAGCATCGATTCAAGAAAATCTACTCAAACCTGGTGAGGTCAGTGAGGCTCGTCTTGAATCAAGACCACATCTTTCTCCTTCCCAACTCGGCCAGATGAAAACGACTGTCCAGTCTGGTACAACCAACAACATGGGGCTCCCTCTCCCGGAAGAGCCAGGATGTCAGCATTCCTCATTCTGCCCCAGCTACCTGTTGAATCCTAGGCAAAGACAAAAAGACATTTTGTTGATTCCTAAAAAAGTTAAACATAGAGTTACCATATTGCTCAGTAACTTGGTTTTTGTGTATAACCAAGAAAACGGAGCCCTGATGTGGCACTGGAGAATACGCACCGGATGGTTAACCACAAGGTTGGCAGTTCAAAGCCCACCAGGTGCTCTCAGAAACCCTATACAGGTCGCTATGAGTCGGAACTTAACAACAACAACAACAGCTCAGTAACAGGAGTGCAATAGATGCTCAGTGCAGGTTAATTTAACTAAGTCGATGCAACTGTTCAAAACACAAGTCTCATGTATTATTTACAAGAAATAGAGGAAATGCAGCAAATGTCAGCATTATGGTTTCTTGAAAAGAAGGGTCTCAAAGGTCATTAATCTATTGCAAGTCTCTGTCATTAGGAAGACAACTGCCTTCAAATGAAGAAAGGGAGTGATCATGTAAAAAATAAATAAACAGCTTTCAAATTGTTTTTAGCGATTGCCTTATTGTCTGGCAGAGTTGGGAAATGAGATGTCACCATCATTTTGAAAGAATTGTTGTTGTTAAGTACCACTGAATTGGTTCTGACCCATAGCGACCCTGTGTAGGGTCCACTCCAAAGAGTGGTTGATGAGCTTGAAGTGCCAGCCTTGTGATCCAAACCAACCTTGTAATCCAGTACATTAACCTACAGTGCCACATCATGACTTTTTTTTAAAGAATTAGGCTATAAAGAAGTCACACTGGAGTGTGATCAAGGGCCAGTGATACACACTCACAACATTCAATCTTTTATGATTCTAGAAGTACCTTGTAGCAGTACCTTGAGGTTCTTATCACAGGTGCCAGATATGCCATTGGGGTTCAGAGAGTCTGAACTATAGAGAGCTTTGTCATCCACCATCAGGTGAGGTGGTAGTGTTCTTCAAGACCGTGTTACATTAGATACTCACATTTGCTCTCGAAGGTCCTTCGGGATTGTTTCAGCATGCTGTCAACATTTGGTCATATACAAGGGTGATGGTAGCTGGCTCTGTTCCACTAGGAAACCCTATTCATGTGATAGCAGGACAGTGAATAAGGAAGACCAGAGGAGAACTGATGCATTTGGATTATGGTGTTGGTGAAGAATATTGATAGTACCCTGGACTACCAGGAGAACAAAGAGGTCTGTCTTGGCAGAAGTATACTCAGAATGCTCCTTAGAAGCCAGGATGGCGAGACTCTGATGTGCTTTGGACATGTGATCAGGAAGGACCAATCCCTGGGGAAGGACATCGGGTTTGGTAAAGTGGAGGGCTGGTGTAAAGAGGAAGACCCCTAATGAGATGAATTGACACAATGGCTGCAACAGTGTGCTCACACAACAATTGTGAGGATGGGGAAGGACTGGAAGTGTTTTGGTCTGTTGTGCAGATGGTTGTTGTGAATCAGAACAGGCTCAATGGCACCTAACAACAACAACAAATTGAACCCTTGGTTCAGTTGTCCACCTGTTATAACTGGACTCTGAATGTCATGTCCCCACTGCTTAGTAAAAGGAAGACTGTCTCCAGAATTTAAGCTGAAAGTGCTCAGAGGTAGGGAAGGTCAGTGGGCCTATCATTTTCATTTTGAGATATCATTCAGACTTTTTCTCATTGATGATGTCTTTGTCAAACAGGCACTGGAAAGTCGGGTCATACAGATATTGTCTTAGTGAACCAGGAAGCATCACTTGCCTTCATATTTTATTCTGAGGTCAAGGAATTCTCTCTTCAAATGGAGATAAGGTTCTAGAACATCACCTAAGTTTACATTAAAAAAAAAAAAATCAGATTGTAAGAATCTTTGGGTAATAACAATAAGTAGCTGATTCCCAACACAGCAAATGACTCAAAACCTAATGAATAAATATTCACTAAATAAACCGGCGTGGCACTGTGGATTAATGTGCTTACCTGAAAGGTCAGTTTGAACCACAGCCACTCCTAGGAAGCTCCATACAGGGTCACTATGGGTTGGAACCGACTCTGCGGAACTTAACAACAACAACAACAAATAAACTGATACAGGGTTGGGAATCCTGGTATGGCACTGTAGGATAAGCACTGGATTGCTAACCACAAGGTCAGTGGTTCAAATCCAACAGCTGTTCCTTAGACGCCCTATATAGGGTCACTATGAGTCAGAACTGACTCAACAGCACCTAACAATAATAACAAATAAACTTATTTTTCAACACCCAACTCAAACCTGATCTCTGCCTTATGGCTTGCCAACCGTGGTCTCCCCAAAGTGAGACCAAGTTACTTCTGGTATCCTTAAATGCTCCTGTTACAGTTTGCTCATGTCCCCGAAATAGCACGTGCTTGATTGTGTTCTAATTCATCTATTTTCTGTCTTCTTGCCTGGATGCTGAGGTTCTGGGTGAGAACAATTCACCTCATATCTCAGCACCTGGCATGTGTGGGCTGGTACGTAGGAGACACTTAATATATATCTGCTGGATGAATGAGTAATAGGAGAACTTATTAAATTTCATCTTTCACACTGGGCAAGAAGAGGACACATCATATTGAAATATTTCCCATCTGTTAATACTAAGTAACTCCTTTTATGATATAGAATAAGGAGTTGGGAGACACCATGTTGTTTTTTTAATTGTCTTCCTCCTTCTCCTAACCTTCTCTATCTTCCTCCTTTCAATCTCCTGAAAAGATTTGCCTTAATGGTCTTCAATTCTCTTCTCTCCAGGCAGGCATTAATGAAAATGACTTTTATGATGGGGCATGGTGTGCGGGAAGGAACGACCTACATCAGTGGCTTGAAGTGGACGCCAGGAGGCTGACCAAATTCACTGGGGTCATCACACAAGGAAGGAACTCGCTCTGGTTGTAAGTGTTGTTGACCATGCGCTTTTGTAGACCACATGCCTTGCGTCTAGTGTTCAGAGGGTTTGGACAGAGTGGTATCTGGGAAGAGGCAATAGAAGGGAATGTGGACAGGAGACTGGGTTTGCTGTAGACCTGTAGAGACAAATCCCACTGGGCTTAGATGAACACCCTCCCATTGTGCAGAACAGAAAGAGGGATCCACCAGGCAGGTAAAATGGAGTAGACAGAGGTGCAGTCAAGATGGTGCAAAATACGAATCTAAGGCAGCTGCCATCTTGGATCCGTATTTCTTGGCGAGATAGTGGTTCTGACTGGTGTCCTGACGTGGCCTGGGGAAGCAGTCTAGACAAGCAGATAGCAACCAGCAAGAGTTTTTGGCAAGTAACAGGGTCCCAGTCACAGTCCTGGGGCAGAGAATACAGACCTTCCAGACACTGAAGAAGGACTGAACCTAGTCAGGTCCCCCAGATCAGGGACTTATTTGTAAGATCAGCACTGGCTGATCTTCAAACCCACCAGCAGCTCGTTGGGAACCCTATACAGAGTTGTTATGAGTCGGAATTGACTTGGCGGTACTTAACAATCACACAAACAACAAAGAGAACAGGAACCAGAGTGAAGGATGGCTCAGTCTGTGGTCTGAGAATGACATGACACAAAAGTGCACTTCTCAAAACAGAGCATCGGGTCAGCCATGGGCCAGTTACAAACAGGACCTGGTGTTAGTCCCAGAGAAGTGAACTGTCTGTTGCTCTATGAAATTCTTCATGTGACTCCAGCCAGGTGGGCAACAGGCATGCAGAGATTGGGGTCTAGGTAGGTCACCACCAGGGTCAGCAGGATCTAGGGCACTTTCCACATATAAACTAGAGGTTAGAAAGTTCCTCTTACCCTTCTACATTGACAAGGTAAGAACACAAGTTGCCTAACCCTTCACCACTAGGTAACTGTCGATTTCTGTGCCAATTAACTAAGACCCCTGTGCCTGCTCCACCCCCACACCTACAAGCGGGCTTCAGAACGTTCATGGAAATATTCCCTATCTTTTTGTTTCATATTTTTACAAACTTTGGGACACATTCTCTTTTGAATTCCCGTTCTTGGCATCTTATGGTCTTTATTAATTGCCTATTGGTAGTCATGTGAGAATCTGAGTAATTTGCTGATTAGATGAATTTAATTTTTGGAAAGGTTCAGAATTAATATGTAAACGGGGATAAAGGAAGTGAAAGTTAGCCTCTGGGCTTGCATTCAGCTACCTGACACTGCCAGTGTTAATGAGGTTGATTCTATAGCGACAACTGTCAGTCCGTGACTCATCGTTTATTTTCCTCTCAATTTTATTTATTGTAATGATAATATCATAACATCTGAGAACCTTTTAAAACATGATGAGTAATTCCACTGCCCTTATGCAAATAACTTTTTTTTTTTTTTTTGCATTTGGAATCACATTACATATGCAACTGTGTGTTATTTTTAACTTAAAAATATCTTTAACATTCCTATGCTGTAATTCAGACTTCATAACGATCACTTTTAATAGGTTAGAATTTACTCAGTCACCCCTCTATTACCATTCCAATCTCCTACTACCACATATAATATTGCAAAACAGCATCTTCATATTTTTTCCTCCCTTCATTTGAATTTTCTTCTTCAACTCAATTTCTAGTGCTAGAATAATCCATGCATTTTGACAGCATTGTGGTTGTGTGTTTGTACTATCTTGTGGATCACATTATTTCCCTGTGCTTTTCAGTAACATTTATGTATGTGTTCACACAGGTTGATTTCTGCTCTGGGCCATGTCTTCCCATGACTAATTACCATGACAATTGTTTTCACTGCTTAGATACATGAAGGCAAGCATTTTGGAAGGAAAATTGGATTGCTCAAGGAAAATGAAAAATGGAAACGAATGGCTGCTTTGAGATTATTAGTTGTGACTTGAGCAGGGATTTTTGTCTTGATGCTTAGATATTAACTTTCTGTCTGGCCGCTTTCAGTAGAGACTCAGAAGTCAGAATCCAGTGATGATTGGATTAGGAAGTAAGCGCAGAGGTAGGAATGGGTTCATGTTCCACATCAACTAGAAACACAAGACAGTTGTGGATGAACCAAAAATTGCATTGAATGATACCTTTCTTACGCTTAGCCTAGGACATGAGCAACAAAGACTGATTGCTTCTAAGAGACAGTATTTGTAAGTCTAAAATTTTCAAGACAACCGATTCTCCAGGGATCATGATAAGAAATCTGATGAGCTTTGAGTTGGTTTCTCTCTTGGAATGGTACCGTCTTCACTAAGGATCTCAAGAGGAAATGGGATAAGGATGCATTTTGGTATCTGAGCTCTTTTCCCTGGAGGCATAAAAAAAAAATGCTAGAGGCATTGGGATCTATTCTAGGATGACCAGAAAACATGTTAACAAAAGATGTTGTTTTTCTTGTTGCCATGGAATTGGCATCAATTCAAGGAGATCTTATGTTTAATAGAATGAGAAGTTTGTCAGATGCCTCACAAATAATTATCAGTAGGTTTGAGTCCCTTGTCTCAGCTATCATGTAGTGCCTTCTAATGGAGGGAGCGCATCAAATCCTCTTGTGAGCTCTAGGTTTTCATTCCCTAATGTTGGAAGCACATTGCCAGGTCTTTCTCTTTAGTCTCCTCCAGTCTGGAATTACCCCTGAAGCCTGCCCACCATGGGTGACTCTGCTGGGATATGACATTTTGGTGGCATACCTACCAGTATCATAGCAACACAGCTATGAATGGGCAGTGCTGGTTATAAATGCCTTTTATCTGGTTGTTGAAGGATCTCTGGTAGAGCTGTGGGTTAGCCATTGGGCTACTAACTGCAAGGTTGGTGGTTCGAGCTACCGACCCCTCCTCAGGAGAAAGACGTGGCTGTCTGCTCACCGTACAGGCTTGCAGTCTCAAGAACTCTATATAGGGTTGCTCTGAGTCAGAACTGACTCACGAACAGTGGGGTTTGCACTTTATTTGTTTAGTTTTTATTTTAATTATTGGAATATAGTAGCATTTTGGTATAAAGCATATTTAAAATATATATTTACAAATGCAAAAAATGAATTTCATTTATAGCACTTTATAGTTGGTAAGGGGCCCTAGTGGTACTATAGAGCAAGCACTGACTGCTAATCACAAAGTTGGCAGTTCCAACTCACCATCGATAGTACCTTGGAAGAGAGATGAGGCTGGCTGCTCCTGTAAAGATTGAAAGTCTCCAGAACCCTACATAGGGTCACGATGCGTCACAGTTGATTCTCTGGTTATGGGTTTTGGTTTTGTTGGTATTTTTAAACAAACACCCATCCTCTTATTTATTCCTAGCTTGCTGCTTTTCTTTGATACAGTTATTCTTTTTGAGGAATTTGTGATTTATAGGAAAAATTACCCAGGAAGTACACAGAGTTCACATATGGCCCTCTCCCTCCTGCACCCAGTCTCGCCTTTAAGTAGCATCTTGCACTTGACTCATTTGTTACAATAGAATCAAGAAAGATACGTTATAATAACTTAGGTCCATAGTATATGCTAGGGCTCAGTCTTCGTTGTACATTTCTGTGGGCTTTGACAGATGCATAATGTCTTGTGTCCACCATGACAGTATCACACAGAACATTTCACTGCCCTGGAATGCCCCTTGCTTCATCCTCCATGCCTCCACACCTCCCCTTTACCCTTGCTGACCACTGGTCACTTTAGGGCCTCACTTGCCCTGTGTGTGTCCATCACTTTATTCATCCAACACTGAGTAGTCCATATTGTCAGTGTGTCGTATTGTGGTGGTTTGCGTGTTGCTGTGATGCTGGCAGCTGTGGCACTGGTATTTTAAATGTTAGCAGCATCACCCATGGTGGACAGGTTTCAGTCTAAGTCTTAGACTAAGACAGAGTAGGAAGAGAGAGGTGGATTACCTCTGAATGTCTAGTCACTGAAAACCTTATCAGTAACAGTGGACCATTGTCAGACATAGTTGCTGGAAGATGAGCCCTTCTAGTCAGAAAACACCCCAGATAAGACTGGGGAAGAGCTGCCTCCTCAAAGGAGAGTTGATCTTAATGATGTGAATGGAGTAAAGCTTTCGAGATCTTCATTTGCTGAAGGAGCATAACTCAAAATGAGGTGAAATAGTTGCAAAGTCCATTAATAATAATAATAAAAAAAAATAGAATGCATGAAGTATGAATCTAGGAAAATTGGAAGTTGTCAAAAATGAAATGAAATGTAGAAAGATTGATATCCTAGGCATTAGTGAGCTGAAATCCACTGGGATTGGCCATTTTAAACCTGGCAATCGTACGGTTAACTGTACTGAGAATGACAAATTCAAGATGAATGGTGTCACGTTCAAAAAGGACCTTTCAAGATCTGTCTTGAAATACAATGTTGTCTGTGGTAGGATAATATTCATATGCCTCAAGAAACACCAATTAAGATCAAGTATTATTCAAATTTACACACCAACCACTAAAGCCAATGAGGATGAAATTGAAGAATTCTACCAACTTCTTCAGACTGAAGTTGATAAAACATGAAATCAAGATGCATGGATAATAACTGGTGATTGGAATGCAAAGGTTGGAAACAAAGAGGAAGGACCAATAGTTGGAAAATATGGTCTTGGTGATAGTAATGATGCTGGAGATTACATAATAGAATTGTCTTTGTAAGACCAATGACTTACTCATTACAAATACCTTTTTAAGCAACATAAAAGGCAACATACACATGGACCTCACCAGGTGGAATACACAGGAATCAAACTGACTACATCTGTGGCAAGAGATGGTAGAAAAGGTCAATATTATCAGCCAAACCAAGATAAGGGGAAAACTGTGGAACAGACCATCAATTGTTCATATGTACGTTCAGACTGAGGTTGGAGAAAATTAAAACAAGTTTATGAGAGCCAAAATATGACCTTAAATACATCCTAATGAATTAAAACATTTAAGTCCATAGCAAGAAA